TCAGTAAAAGATGAATTTGATGAGAAAATTTGAGATTTTTGTGAATTACCGGGAAAAATTTTTTATTCGGAAGATTTATGAAAAAGTGGATTGATTTTGGTTTTCAATTTGTGTTGAATCTTTGTTTACTGACAACAGGTATGCATAAATTTCACTCAAGTGATCTACATCAGTGCATCGATGAAAGAACTACACATATTTTTATAGAAACGAGAAGAGAGAATCCCGAATAATCAGGTGAAATGAATCTTTTTTTCAATTGTTACAAAGGTGTTCTTCGTGAATGTGCATTTTTGAAGTGGCTAAAAATCATATTTCTTTGCAAAAAACCGTTTTCATGAAAACATCATTTTCAAGATATTATGTATTTTGTCATGAAAATTTACCCTCAGAATCACGTTTACCTACGAAAAAGTTCTGTAAATATGATGTTATATTCCTCTCATAACATCAGCTACGATTTCGACCAGTATCTCGTAAGATCTTTTTTTTCAAGGACCACCCACCAAGTGTCGAGGTGTTAACTATCGAGAGACCTGCTTTTATGTCCATCGTCCGGTATACGAGAAGCATCAGTGTGTCAATTGAGAAAAAATATCTCTCCGTGCATTAACACGTTTTTATTATTGTTGTCGTCGCAACTCATCACTAATTCATTTATTGGTGGGTACCAACGCGCTCAAAGTTATTGTTTCGTTATCGAAAATTTGCCCTCCAGGTAAATATATAGATAGAAAGAATATTGAGGGAACTGTTTTAAGCAAACTAGGAGAAGCTTCAAAGAAAAAAAAAACACTAAGTCGGTCGACCAGAAAGTTTAATTACAAAAATTTTACTTTTTGTGACTAGTTCTCTGGCCAAATGACCCTGGCTTCTCAACTTTTCAATTTTATTAATTATGTGATCTCCACGTGTCCTTTTATAGGTACTCTATATTGTGTCTGAAGATGGCTGTTTGAGCCGAAACTAGTCACAAAAAGTGACATTTTTGTAATTAAACTTTGTGGTCGACCGACTTAGTGTTTTGTTCTTTTCTTTGATAAAATCTTGACCACTTTGAGAAGGATTGATGGTTTCCATGACTAAGGAGAAGATTATTGGACATAGCCCTCAGGAAGAGTTAACCGTAGTAGTAGTAGTAGAAGTGCAAAAGATAGGCAACACTTGGTGGAAGACGGAACAACAAATCGACGGAGTCAACAAACAAGAAGCCAACCACACATTTGTGGTTTCGGTCAAAAGACCTTGCATTTTCAGGGCTACAACTAACGTCAGCACCAAGTGTTGCCTATCTTTTGCACTTCTTCCACCGTACTGATGAGGGCCAAAAGCCCGAAACACGTGTCTACGGTTAACTCTTCCTGAGGACTATGTCCAATAATCTTCTCCTAGTTTGCTTATATAGGTATATATAGGGAAGTTTTGGTAGGATGAACTTCTTTGGGTTCTTAAGGAATTTGATTGAATCAATGCCGAACCGATGATTGAAAGTGCTTGCTGCTGATGGTTTCAATACGGAATAATGAAAAATGTAGATAAACAAAATCCATCAATTTAGTTTTGTATATTAAATTTATATTCGTTTTGATTCATTGAATTTTCGTTTCATTTTTCTTTTCTGTTCGAATTTTTCATCGGTTATATTATTTTGAATTGGATCCTGAATTTGGTATTCTTAGATACATAAATGTTAATGGTATGATATGTAGTTGTCTTGAATTCTTACTTTCAATAAAATTATATTGTATTGTATGCATAAGAGGAGATTACACTTGGAAATAGAAGATCTACAATACATGTATGCAATTTTTCTTGACTTCGAATAATGAAGAAACTTTTATTGCCGCCGATCAAGATGTTTGAAAAAAAAATTCGAGATCATCCATATTGTGTGACGTTAAGAAAATATTTGAGTATCTCACATTCACAAAGAATCATCAAATCCTAAAGGATATTTTAAAAATAGCCTTTGCCATTTCCATCATAATTAATATCAAAAAGGATTGGTAATCTTGACACCAATACTGCTCAAGTTCTTGCTAACTGAATGACATGGGCTTAAACAAGAGTTGTTACCATTTATTTGGGCAGCAGTGTACATAGGAACCTATATAGCTATAATTTATATTTCCTGGTGTAAACTGATGAATGTTCAGAATGTTGCTTTTTTTAAAATAAAAATGCATTCTATGTGAGTATTTATGAGACAAATTTCTTATTTCATAATGAAATCATTTTCGATATGATTTTTTTTTTCATTCAGAAAATGTTTTGATTTATTAGATCTTTTTTTTCATGTTTTGGTTCCCACGAAAAGGGATATTCTGTAATGTTCAGATAACATCGAGAGAACCAAGGAAAATACGGTAGGAATTGGTGCTCTTGAATTTCTGGAGGTTATATGCCTCAGGGCCAGAGCCTCGCTGTTCGTTGGATGAACAAGTCTTTGGAAGGAGATGTTCTGCAGGTCTCCGAAGTGACCACGAAGAGGTGCGAAGCCTCAACTCGACGGATTAATCTCGCGGGGACTGCCAAGGGGGAAACAATTGTTGATATTTCAGAAGAGCATCGTCCATGAAAATATCTATAAAATAGAGCCAGATCGCCAACTTTTCTACGGTGTTCCAGAGAAGTGAGTGAGTTTGTGAGCGAGGCATCACCCACGAGACGAATTGCCCTTTTTTGAACAGAATCCAACAGTTTCAGGATACGAATGGGTGCTGCACTCCAAATATGAGAACAGTATTCCAGGACAGGTCGGATCTGTGCTTTATAGAGCATAAGCAGCCGACTGGAAGTGAAATAGCTCCTGGCCCGAAACAGAAAACCAAGTTTTTGGGATGCACTTTTAGCAATTGATCTCACTTGATTTTCCCAAGAAAGATTATTGCTGATAGTAATACCAAGCATCGAAATGGATGTCTTCGAAGGTATGGTTACTTCTGGCAAGCTTATGTTGGGCACAGTGAGATCGGCTTTCCTAGAGAAAAGGCATGCTTGTGTTTTGTTTGCAGTGAAATCTACCAAGTTATTGGATCTCCATTCGAGAATTGTTGCCAAGTCCTTAGTTATGTAATCAACATTTCTTCCTCGTTCGTTTCAGATTTGCCTGGCTGGTACTTCAGCTTTTTCTCATTTCTCAACGGTAGGTATTTTCTTGAAAATGAGTGCCTTCATTGATACATTATGAGAAAATCGTAAAATCACGAATTGTTGAAAGAATCACGAACCGCCACTGGAGACAACATGAACTCAATTGAACTGTGCAAACAAAAATCACCGCAAATGATTCATTCTCAACATATTATTATAGACGACGTCTGAACATGATCTGAATATGGGAGAGTAAGTGATATTTCTGGAAAGAAAAACACTGCAATATCCAACCGCATCGAAAACTCCTCAATTTCCCGATGATAAGCTGTGTCTTATGTACTCTTCAGAGCTATCAGTAATTTCTCTATTATAGCAAGTGTCGATTTTCCCACAGAACAATGTTTGCACTTGGGATAGAGTCAAGAAAACAAAGAGGCAATGTTATAAAAATATATTTGTATATCATCAAAAATCCCGATACCGGGTTTATTACAATCGAAATGTTGGACAAATATTGTTATACTCCTGTTAATCATGTTTATTAACCATCATTCAAGAGTAACAACAAGGTGAGTTGAACATTTATTAGTAGGTTTAATACTAAAATTACTCAATTTTGCTAAATCCATTTCGAAACATTGGAATGCAATCAGGAATTATTCGTTTCAACAGTCTAAAATATAATTTAACCCACTTGGATGAGATGATAATACAAAATATAGATTGAATATTATATCAGTAGGTAATCCAGAAGAAAGAAAACTTTCCCTCTAACGAAAATAAAAACAGCTTTTTCTTCTCATATGGATCTAAAAGTGGATTCAGGCACACAGCTTTTGCATTAATCTGTTGCTTTCATTAACTGTCATCAAAGTTAATTTTTATTCAATTACTATAATACCTTTATGCACCACCTTCTTGTCTTCTTCTTGATCAAAACATAGTCCTTAGCGTACTTAGCCCTATGAAGATATTTGTGTTATCATCACATAATTACAATAAGAATTATTCATTCATACTGTTTTTAGAGTGTAATTTGAACATACCACTAGAATTTTCAACCACATTTTGGAAAAAGAAGAGGAAGAAATTGTTTGTCTGACTTTATGATAGAATCGCGCCTGCTCAAGACACAGTTTCATTTGTATTTGTCTTTAAGAGATAGAAGTTGGTCATCTTTTAGCGAATAGTCAATGAGATAAAATTCAATTAAGGTGCATAAATGAATGAACGGGAATACCAAGTTTCAACTTATTACTGAAATCGTTAATGATTGTGAAATTACAGATTGATGAAAAAGCGATGTGCATAAATCCGCCTTAACAATATGATATCAGCAAATTGAGATTATACATTCACCATAGTAATATTTTTTTTAGTTTAAATCAGTCAATATTAGATCGATAAGGCACACTACTAACTATGAATCAGCACTTTTTTCAATTCAAGTTGGCTGCAATTGCATTATCTATTAACAATGTAAACACTTATTTTCATTAATGTGATGTGAGAAGACCAAAGAGGTAGCCAGAAAAAAATTAATTCAAAATACTTTAGCGCATACATAGATCCATTTTTTTCATGGCTTCATATGAGTATATTATTATCGAGAAAATGCTCCATGAACTAAGTCTATGCCTATGTGTATATTATGATCTTTCCAGCAGATCTATTTCGAAAATCTTATAATTAGAAGCCAACTAAATTGGTCTAATTACATTCAACAAACATTTCAGAACACATTTTCATCATTACAAAATAATGATTCAAATTCGATAAAGAACTTTTGGAGGTTGAACAGTTTAAATGCGTACACAGGGTGTTGCTAAATTCGACATCCTCCGACAACACATGAGAGTTATAGAAACCAAAAAATCTCGAAAAAATATAAAAATTAGCTAGGATTATAGGGCAGTGACAGGTCCAGTCAGTGTGACCCTCGGAGTACCCTGTGACATCGAGGAAGTCGTTATGATGCTCAGACTTTCGATAGAAGCGGTTTTATTGTCGTCAGTCGATAAATCAGACGTGCAAATATCGCTGCGCCGCAGAAGATTCGCTAATTTTCTGTCCAATCTGCAAGAAATACCTAAATGAGCATGTTGATCAAATCAGGTACCGTCTACTAGGGCTAACTTGCACAAGTTTTGCCTTTTTTATTAGCAATGGGCGAGTGGACTGATACTGAATTATTGGTATGCAATATACATCAATCTTCAACATTCTTCAACATTTTTCTTAATGATATAAAAGTTCCTGTTTTGAAAATACAGAAACACAACTGTATGCTGATTACCTCAAAATATACAAAAAGATCACTTCTATTGAAGACTACAGTCTTCTCCAAAATGATCTAAACAGATTTCTTGATTATTGCATATTATTGTAAAGTCAACCGACTACACCTGAATTTACAAAAATGTCATAAAATTCTGTTAACCCGTAGTAGGAATCCACTACAAGCTAACTTGACACTTAACGGGCAGGACCTTCAATTAAAGAATTAGGTGTAATCCTTGATAGTAAACTTACTTTTGATGAGCATATTGATAATATTGTTGGAGGGCTCTCAGAAATTTGGGCTTTATCTTTAGAGTTGCCGCAAATTTCAAACGAGCAGACACTGTACTTGTCTTATATAACTCCATAGTTAGATCCTATTTAGATTAAAAAAAAAATGAAATTGAACAAGGGCGTCGCCAGCGGAAAAAATAGGGGGGAGGCACCATAAAAAAACTGAAGAGAAAAATCAAATAGAAAGAGTTTAATGAGAAAATCAAAAAACAGAAAAAAATCTATACAGTAAATCAGTTGAAAAATAATCTTCTAGGGTTCTTTGGGAATTCGTTGGTCACTTTTTAACGAAATCGTTCAAGTTTTTGAAAATATGTTGCCTGTGTATACTCATCATTGCGAGGCCATTGAGTCGAGCATCATACATGGTGCTCCTCAACCAGGTTTTGATTCTCCTAAGGCTACTAAATGATCTTTCAACTGTACAAATCTTACAAGGTGAAGGCAACAAGGATCTTCAGAGCCTTCTCAACTTCAGGAGAAAAATATACTTTCGGAAGTTCTTTGCTCAAAGTGATCGTTATCATAAGTAATATCACGATATTCTTAATATTCGAGATAATTCTGTCGCCTCATTGTTCACGAAATTGTGTTGCTGAGCAACACCACGAGTCAGGACGAAAGGTAGGGCTGTACGGCAACACAGTAGATTTGACAAGGAAATGAAGAATAATGAGAATATATTCAGAACAGAGTGGAGACTTTTTCACGTTCACGAAGTAAAGAAGCATTTATTTTGAATGAATGATCCATTCTGACAAGTACAGTCATTATTTTTTGCCAAATTGACAGACTTCGCTTCGCTACCCATGGTTACATCGTTGAAAATATCTAGTTTTCGCGATAAACACACGTTTCCTCTGGCTTGTGATTGGTCAGATTATGTGATGAATGAAATAGTCGTTTCAATGATAGCAGGGTGACTGGCGAGCGTTAAACGTAGGGGTGGGGGCAGCTGCCCCACCCTGCCCCTCTCTGGCGACGCCCTTGAAATTGAAGGTATTTGAGTGATGATTCCATTAATTTTCAAATGAAATTCTATCAGTTTCAATCGAGTGAAAATAAAGCTTCCAAAACTTTCCCCAATGTGCAATAATGTAAAAGAACTACAATAATTGAAAGAATACTCACTGCACCAACTTTTGATCTGACTCTTCCTTCTTTGCCCTGGTATCTTGTAGTTCCCTACGGAGTTCTAGAGCTTCCCTTTCTAGTTCTAGTACTTGCCTCGCCGAGTTGGTACTAGCTTCGTTTGGTGATGCACTAGCAGTGTCGTCAGATCTGCAGGAAATAGTACTTCAACGTCTAGGGAAGTGAGGACCAGATATAGCTAATATCATAATCAATTTTGATTCACTGAACTGAAAGTCCTTTTATCTTCCATTCGCCTTCGCGGTTACGTAAATTACAAAACAACCACTAAATTCGAAATTTTACAGTACACTGAAAGATATTTAATTACTTCAACAGAATGATAAATATATTTGCAAAAAGTGCCTGCAGGGCAGGTGTCATTCCTGTTGAAAACTTCTAGAAAGTAATATCTTCTCAATATTGATTGGTCCTTTTTCCTGTCACAAAAAAAGTATTATACACGGGAAATTATTATTTATCAAAACTCCTTCATCCATAGAACGGCTAGGCTCTGGAATTCATTGCCTGAGGAAGTATTCCCATATTCCCAACAACATATAATCTCCAGGAGTTCAAGAAAAATTCCAATACCTACCTCCTGTCCCTATCCTCCCTAGGAACGCACGATGTTCTTTGAACATTATAGGGATTTCCTTTCGTGCGCTCAAAGCGATAAAAAAAAGTTTTAAGCTCACGTTTTTTGTCTCCCGTCGCGTAACGAAGGCTAGAGCTAAAATCTACTTTTTATACCTTGTATAATAAATAACTATCTTGGTTTATGAATGTTCCTTCCATTGACTATCGAACATATGGAGATGATTATTGTATCTCTGTGGAATGAGATTCTACAGGATGATAATCAAAGCTGTGCAATTTTTTGAAAATTTCAAAGGCCTTCCGTTTGGAAGAAAACATTTTTAAACTAGTTCTAAGGTAAAAAACATTACACTACCTATCTGTTTTCTCGAAATGGTTTTGAATTTTTTGGAATTGTCACACTCGTTACTGAAATGACGTGTGCTCTTGTCATTTTTTTTATCGCTAGGAGCGCACGAAAGGGAATCCCTATAATGTGCAAAGAACATCGTACGTTCCTGGGGAGGATAGGGACAGGAGGTAGGTAATGGAATTTTTTTGAACTTTTGGAGATTATACGTTGTTGGGAATACTTCCACAGGCAATTGGTATTGCTAGTGAAGGGATGATAGCAGATATTTCCGAAGAACATTTCCCGTGGAAGTATCGATAGAAAAGTGAATGGTCGCCGACCTTTCTACGGTGTTCCAATGATGTCAAACAGTGAGTGAGTGTGGCGTCACCCACCAGGCGAATGGTTTTTCTCTGGATGGAATCTAAGAGCATCAGCGTATGTTTTGGTGCTGAACCCCATATGTGGGAACAGTATTCTAGAACAGGCCGTATCTGCGCTTTGTAGATCATGAGAAGCTGTTGAGGTGTAAAGTAGCTTTTCGCACGGAACAAGAATCCGAGTTTTTGTGAAGCAGCTTTGCGATGGATCTGACATGATTATCCCATGAAAGAGTGTTGCTGATGGAAATATCGAGCATAGATATGGTGGGCTTGGTGGGGATGGTGGAGCCAGACATTACAATATCGGGCATACTGAGTTCCACCTTTCTAGAGAAAATGCAGGCTTGAGTTTTGGTGGCGTTGAATTCAACTAGGTTGTTTGTTCCCCAGGCTGTGATTTCAGCAAGATCTTCATTGACAGCATTGACCTGCCTGCGCCGTGAGTTCTTGGTTCAAATGGTGGTCAACATATTGTCATGATATAATAGATCCATATCGACTTATAAGGGGGAATATATAGGCACTAATAGTTTAGGGGTAGCTGAAAGTATTAGACTATGTTCAAAGATAACAATATTTATTATAACACGAAACATTATGGGTAGCAATGACAAATATGAATAAACAACAATGAATATAAAGACCTAATAACATCTTACATAATAATGACTATTACGACGAGTTCTTGTCAAGTCAAGAGTAGTCCCAGACCAGACTAACTTCGGACACCTCACATCCAATATTTATATACATCATTTTATTAGATTTGCACGTTCTACTCGTGACAATATTCATTGATACAGGGTGGTCCTCGTTCCCGATTCACGTTGATATTTCGGGAACGTGGATATGTTCACATTATTCTTCACTGTATGACTAAAATATGTATGTAATTACTTTGTACTATATCTTGTGTTGAAAGCAGGCCTATGGCAAGGCCTACGCTTATACCCCACGAATTGATAAGGACGAGGGTGCAATTTGGGAGAAAGTGATAAGACATGTTTCAGTTCAGTTGTTATCGCCGGCCTTCCATGATGGACTTTAGAGACTATAATAGTCACGTGAACCAGATTTCTACTCGGATTCATAGCACATTTTTATTTATAATACCTAAACCCGAATCTAAACCGTAGTGTGAAAAAAAACTTGTTTTATAAGAACGTTTCTAAATGTTGATAGGTAATAGATATTTACGATATGAGTATCGTAAAGACTCATATTACGATATGAGATGGGAAATTTGTCAAACGAGGCAGAAGGCCGAGTTTGATAACCCATCGATTAGCGTAATATGAGTTTACGACAAGAATATAGTACAATATTTTACCTACTACCTTAAAGCTAATTATTCAATAAAAAATATTCAATATTCCTTGAACTGACGATTCATTAGGAATATGTAACAAGCAAGCGTTGCAGGGGTTGTGCGTATGATTGTCGTGAGTCGTGAGCCTATTGTGTTCTCGGTTGTCACTCATTCGGCGAACTGTCACTTTTGACGCGTTAATTTCAATTCGGAAAAAAAATCATCGGCATGAATTCGGGCCAGGAAAGTTTAGATTCCGATATAGGAATTGCGGCAAATGCAGCAATCGAAACTTTAGTACCTGATGCTATATTCATGATAAATTGGTTCTTATTTCTTTTTTTGAGTAAATATAAAATTTGAAATTAGTGCGGTAAAGTATATCATTACGATAATATTATCAGTGTCGTAATGTTTCACATTACATATTGGTAGTAGTTAAATTAGTCTTACCTAATATTGTTCATGGATAATTTTTTTAGTTGTTCCTCCAGCATGGATATCCTGTCGTTATTCTTGTTTTTTTCAGTAACTAGGTGCATGTGATTCTGGAACAAGATAATTTGTTACAAATTTTGTGACTTTCATATATCATTTTTCCAAAATAGGTGTAGGAATCAGTGAAAGTAATCAATGTGTTTTTGAAGTTATAATGTTCTCAAATTGTTTTCTAAGGAGGTAGTTATCTCTCCAAATAGCAAAAGATAACGATAATCCAATAAGTATTAAGTACTGACACATTTTTTAATAGTAGTTTTTCCGTCATCTTTTTTTTTTAATATAAATAAGTTGGGTCCAATCAACTTATTTTGAACTATATTACAAGTGATAGCTCTGTGTCCCAGCAATTTTGGGTCGCCTTGTATATACATCGGTATTGAAATAATCTGAAAATAACCCGTTCATCCTGTGCACTTAGCGGTAATTGGTGCCCTATTACCGAGTTAACTGACCGAGGGGGGTGGTGTGTGGGGGCGATGGGGGGGCCAGGGGGGGTGATCGGGGGCCCGTATGGGAGCGGACGACCCCCCTGTTTGCGCAGCCATGTCGGAAAAGTGGCCGTATCAGATTTCATTCGGGACGGTCGCGGCCGAAACGAAAGAAGAGGAAGAAGAACTGGTCGTCTCTCTCTCTCTCTCTAATGGTTTATGTATACTGAGTGTCCCAGGTTTCTTCATACGGCCAATGTCTCTGTATTACTTATTGAAAAGTGATCGGATAGAAGATTGTAGATACTGAGATGTTCATGATTCCTCTGGTGTGCCCACTCTTCAATTGTTTCGTCAGACATGGTGAGACTAAGGGTGAATTTATAAAAACTTTCAGCATTTAAGATTTAATATTTAAACATTTAAGACTTCACAGTCTTAAGCGGATTCAGTTATAAAAAAATAGGATTAGAGGGAGATACATGTCTTCTGTCAATACTGACATCTAGTTTCTGATACAGAACCAGATTTTCAAAGATAAGTTAGAAACTAGTTGGAAATCAAAATTTTATGTTCTGACTCGTGTTCTGATATCATTCTAGTAATTCATATCCCTAAAATGATATCCACATCCATTATTATACCTCCGCATTATTTAGAAAGTAATCACTATTCCTTCCCTAACAGAAACTGGCTCACTCCTTTGATTTTTTGTCAAATATGGAGGCAACAGAGTTGAGGTGACGACATTCTAGTGTATTTTTGAAGAATGGTTCAGTATCCATATTTTCTATCAGAAGAAAAACAATTATTCAGGAATAACAAACCAAGATATTTTGAATAATTTCTCAATGGAAAGAAATTGAGATGTCACTTTAGTATGCGCACTCCTTATTCCATGTATGATCATTTATCAGCACTTCATAATTATGAAGATGGCCATCATCTTCCTAAATCTTAAATGTAAAATCATAAGTCTTGAATGATTTTATAACATAACCAATGATATATTTCCATGTTCCATCTGTCGTAAACAGTGATAAGCCTTAAATGTTAGATAATAAATCTCAAGTCTTAAATTTTTTTATAAAGCAGCCCTGACTCTCGATATGAACAATTGAATGCGAGTTCGGAACGTGGGTTCTCATATTCGATGATAGATGGCGTGATCGATGGACAATTTCTTGGAAAATTTCAAAATACGTTTCAAATCTTATCATGGAGTTGAACTAGATTTTCAAGGATGTGTTATCCTTCTTTCGGGACCCGAAGAGTAGATACTGTCAAACTTCTCCGAAGATATCAGCTCACACTTTGATTGAAATTGAGTGATTTTTTGTCACAATGAGATTTTCACAAAATTTTGGAAAAAAAAAAAACAGGTGCGCTCATTGGGTATGTTCTGAAAGATTTCATCAGAATTCTGAATCTTGAACCACCCTGTATCTGTTCCGATTAAATATCAGTAGATAGTGAATCAAAAGTTGAGATAGGGACATGTGAGCCAGCCGTTTTGACCGATAATGAATAGTTTTGACGCAAAAAAATCCTAAAGTTGAAAAAAATCTCGATTTGGAACACTCTATATATCTCTGTTTAATCATTTTCGAAATTTTCGATAGACCCCAAGTGTGATACTCGGTGTGATATATCGATGAAATCAGCTCTTCAGGGAGAATCTAAAAATGCGATAAAATACAGGGTGTTCCATTTTGAATATCCATGTTGCTACTACTTACTAGTAAAAGCGGCAACACTGCATTATCGAAAATATGTGTAATGAACATGCATATTTTCATGGATTTCCCCCGACTGATTCTCGATATGAAGATAGTGTAAGCTCGACGTGACATACCCTGTATAAATAGCAAATTATTTGAAAATTATCTGTCGAAATGGAATTCGTACACTCCATGAATATGATTTGTTGGCCAAACAGTGCTGTCCATTGAATAAGTGTTAGACGCTCTATATAAAAAGGTGATTCTGAAAGACCGATCATAAAATGATCATCGCAGCCCATAAAAATTGGAAAAACAAACTCCCTGTAAAAAATATGAGAGAAGTCCGGAATTGAATGCAGAGAGTCCACATGCCAATATTGCTCGGCAAATATAAACAGTGTACTTTATAATATGTACAGAGCATACAAGAGAGAGAAATATAAATTTGCACAGCGCCCGACACAGCCATCTACCGCATGGATTACGTACTAATGTCAACGTAATCCGCTATTCTGTCATTATCGAAGCATCCACCATTGGCGGAGACCTCTACAGGTATGAGAGTGAAACTGGGACAACATTGAGATGATCAGATAATTAGCACCAGCTTGTATCCGGAACTTATGCGCAAATAATCAAGGTGTTGATTCTACATAATGAAATAAGAAATTCATTTCATATGAACCTAGGTTCGGAAATGCATAGTTTTCAACATACAGTGTGTTGAAACTTTTAAAAAAGATCGGTTTTTTATGAATATCTCAAATGTGTTTCCACCGATTTTCTTGAAACATGGAAATAATATTTTTTGTCATGAGGGGCTGATATACCCATAATTCAATTGGAAACTTGGAATCCAGTGGCGTCCCGATGGGCAACCTACCGAATATTATTGTCAATAAAATGTGCGCCACTGTTTTTCTTGAATTCTGTATCTTCATAACCTATTGACCAACTAAAAATACAACATTTTGGTCTCCTGAATTGTTTTGCTATTTTGCTGCTTTTCGGTGGAAAAAAAAATAAATTCCAATTCATATTATAAATTTGTGCAAAATATTGCTTCAAAAACAGGAGTGAAATTAAATGTGTGATCCATGTCCATAGATGTAGAATAGGAATGAAGAATAATTATCTTCAAATATTTTATAATACTGTTGAAAAGGAATATTCTCAGATAAAATTATGAACATACAAAGATGGATATATATTTATATAAAGCAATACATTGAGAATTCGCATTCTCTATGTGATTAGAATATTTACTCTTTTTCAGTTAATTCAAAAGAAAACAACTACTTTCCTGGCTATATGCCAGGACGAACATTGAATTATATCTATTGAACACATACGATGAGAGTTTGAAAATAAAATATAAAAATTTCTGAAATTGAGAATTTGCATTCTCCTTCAGACAAAAATCGGTATATATACACACATCATTCTGAATATTCAACAGAAAACAACTACTTTCCTGGCTATTTGCCTCGTCGAACATTGAATTATATCTGATGAACATTCAAAAGGGGAATATGAAAAATAAAGAATAAAATCCTCCGAAATTGAGAATTGACATTCTTCTTCAAATCGGATGAATAATATGATGAATAATGATCTAGAAATATGACTTACCAATATATATATTTTATTTTCAAACTCTTATCGTATGTGTTCAATAGATAGAATGTTCGTCGTGGCATATAGCCAGGAAAGTAGTTGTTTTCTATTGAATTAACTGAAAAAGAGTAAATATTCTAATCACATAGAGAATGCGAATTCTCAATGTATTGCTTTATATAAATATATATCCATCTTTGTATGTTCATAATTTCATCTGAGAATATTCCTTTTCAACACTTTTATACCCAATCAGGGGGTTCAAACTTGAATGATGGAAACTTGTGATTTTTATAGACCTCAAATCGCAGATTCCTGATAGAGTCTCAATTCAGAATTCATTTCCACGCCCTGTATGATGAATGTCAATTTATCATACACCCAAAAGCATTTTATAATACATTTGTAAATTCAAGATGGCGGATCCACTGTGGCGGACGAGCTTTGTAATTATGGTCCGATTCTATTCAAAATTGGTATCTGGGGGTTTTCGGGGTCGGAGATTAGGATTCCGTCGTGAAAATTGGGAAATTCAAAATGGCGGATCCAATATGGGAAAAAAGCTTTGTAATGAATAGTAGTTTGAAAAACTGTCATAAAACACGCTTTAATAGGTAGCCAAACTGGAGGCCAAACTGAAAAACAGTAGAAAATTGATAGTATAGTTCCAAAAACTGAAGAGATAGATACTCAAACTAAAAAGAAGTTGAAAATGAATAGTTGTTTCAAAAACTAGAGAAACATGATTTTATGGATAGTCAAACTAAAAAGGAGTAGAAAACAAAATAATATAATTCTGTTGATATATCTTGATAAATATTTAACTGAAAAAATATTTCCTAGACATGGATGCATACCTATAGCAGAATAAAGTTTACAGGGTCAGTTATTGTGATAAATAGTAGTTTGAAGAACTAATAATACAGGCTTTTATGAATAGCCAAACTACAAAGAAGTAAAAAATGAAATAACAAAAGTGTGTTGATGAATATTCAACTAAAAAAATCTTTTCTAGATACAGTGTTTACAGCAAAACAACATTGGCTGGGTCAGCTAGTATAGATTGTAAAAATCAGGGATAAACTCACCTGAGTAATAATTTTCACAAATTTATGACAATTGTCCTATGTGAAAGTGATTTTGTGGATATTTTTACTCAGGTGAGTTTATTCCTCATTGAAAAACAATATGCAATGTGGTACTTTGGACACAGGTATTTTTGTCTGTGGGTCTGTATATAACCTTCAAGGGAGCCTTCAAGTATATAATAAAATTATTGGAATTTTCGATTTTGACTATTCCTTAGGCATAAAAAAGCTCACACTCATTTTGTTCTTTGAATCTGCTATTTGAATGAAATCTATAAGGTATCATTTTGAAAAATCTGTTGAAAATATACACACCCATTTATAATAGGAAATAGATCCTTATACATACCAAGTTGAGCTGCTTCTCCTCAATCAAGTGCTTGACCCTAGCAATCAGAGCATCCTCTCGCACTCTAGCAGCATCTCTCACCTCCCTTATAGCATCCGCCAGCATCCCAGGCTCATATTCCCTATCATAATGCCTCATGCCATGCTGCTGCTTCATCATATTCACTTCAACCCTCAACTCCATCACTTCCCTGGACAACCTACGATTGCTCTCCCTCAAAGAATCAACTTGATGAGTGAGTTTTTGAACGATTCGTTCGTCCATGGAGTTTGCACTAGAATCACTTTCATTGGGTAGTCCTGGATCGGAAAAACGCCGTTTGTTGCTTTCGTCGTTTTGCTCCATGTTGACGATAGGCAGGCTCATGTACTCAGAGTCCACTTGGGGCACGGCCAAATTCCTGCCCATGAAGGTGTAGCTGGGATAGTTGGGTGGGTAGACTGGCAAGGACATGGGCTCTGTGGGATGCAGGAAAGAGTAGTAGTTCGGGTTGTGGTACGGGTGGGCGCTGACAGGGAAGTAATTGCAGTTTGAAAGGGGGTTCAGGTCGAATTCGGTCTGCTGGGGCGGTTTCTTCTCGCGATTCTTTTTGCGTTTGACGACACTTGGGGGGTTTCCGCTGATTCCGTTTATTTCTGGCGACATTTTTCCAGGCTTATGATTCAAGCTATAGAAGGATTTTTGATATGTGGAGGTACTTCCAATTAGATATTAGAATTGGAAAGGTAAATAAACTTTAAATCGTGAACTATCAAAATAAAGTGGAAAGTGAAAGTAAAAAAAGTAAACATGCCCATTGACGTTTGACAGTTTTCATTTTGACCTGAAGTTTGACATGTTGACAGTTCCAGTTTAGCCAACAGTACATTATCACGAAATTCAAACATTGATGTTCTATGAAGCTAAGCTATGTTACAGAACAAGAAATAAAGAATGAAGTTCTGTGTTCATCAACAGTGTTGCCAGTGCTAGTAATTTATCACTCGACTCGGTAATTTTTATTCTATTTGGTCACTATTTTTGGAGACATCAATTTTTTTCAGAATGTTCAGATTCTGTTGAGAAATTTTGAATTCAATGTTTCCGAAAATGTATTATTTTGATCGATCTTTCTGGTGAAAATCATAATTATTACTGACGTTATGAATTACAAACAAAAAAACTAGATATATGGGCAGATATCTGTGATTTAAATACATGAAATTGAGAATGAGTTGAATCAGGAAAGAAAAGTCCTTCTATACAATTTTTCTAATATTGCGGAATTTATAATGATTGGAATAAATGAACCAGTTGAACATCAAAGAGTTGAACTCATAGCTGTATTAAAAAAAGCATACAAGTATATTATATTACAGAGAGGAAATTATTGTTTACCAAATGTTGACAGAAAAGTTGTCATAGGTTCTCGAAAACATAATAAAGAATTGGCTTAGCCAGTTTTACACAACTAGAACATTGAATACGCCTGTACTTAAATAGGTATGTGCCCAATAATGCTTGTTTTAAGATATATTTTCCTTATCAGCCTTATCTAGAATTCATTCAGTGATTTTTTATTTCTATATTTACGGCTTTACAGATCTGGTGATCTGATTTTTCATTGGCAACACTGGTATCAGCCAGGATCAGCCAATCATGAGTCATGACTGAAACATTAGGAAGCAGCAATTTGAATTTGAAAGGGAAAAAATCTTTCTCAAATTTGCGATTGAGTAAAACCTAAAACCATTGAAATTATTGTTTTGAGAGGTCTTCTGCTTTCCATGTGAGATAACATAAATTCTGTTCTACCCTCTGCTAAGCATGGCAAGTGTGTACCAATTTCTACATTTATGAGAATATACAGAAGATACTGTACTTCCTTGAGTCTCAAGTTTCACTGTGTAGAACAAATTTCACATGTTCACAAGAAGTGTGTTTCATCAAAAGTTGCCAAATAATAATATATCTTTTACATCATTCAAGTATGAAATTCTGTGGAAACTTGGTGTTAGGTAAGTAAGTAAGTATTGATATTGAATTTGTGAGGAAGTCAGGATATGGAAAGATAAATCATTCCCAAAAGAATACACTTTATTGCTGTCCCATATAATCTTTCTATTAGGTGAAGATAATGTATACTTATAACTCAAAAATTTAATAACTATAAACTATTTTCGGTGATAACATTATATTTTGTAAAGATCTTTTATGTTCATGAATCATATAAAACTTATAACTAATGATTAGTAGGTGCACCTACCTAAATGCCGGTCATTGAAATTTTGCATGAAAATGGTCATCAATCAATTTGATATCCAATGAAATGAGAACAAATGGAGGGATGTATTTAGGGTGTAGGCAAAATGTGAAAGTAACAACATAATCATAATACAAATAAAATAAAGAAGTTTTTCAAGTATAACTTTTGAATCTATGTGTAGACGATTCCCTATGGAAGCAGTATATTGATGATAAATTGAAAGGAAATATGACCAATACCAACAATATCTGAATTCCTATTATATGTGATGGGAATTCAAGTGAAGTACCTACCAATGTATGAATATATGCTTGTGAAACCTGGCACATTAACTTAAAAACAGGATTTGAAAAACTGAGAAGATTATATGTGAACATGACAATTTTTCATGATTTTTCTCAGCATAACTACAACAAACATGAAATTCAGAAAATAATGTCATTATATTGATAACAATCAACTCAATTTACTCAATTCATTTATCACCATCATGATTATTAGCGGAAAGAGAGCTTGAAATCTTCGAAAATATCACTGTGTGAGAGAAAAAACACTGTGAAATACATTAGCAGCTCATTATGATGATTGCAGCCTGATGAAAATACATTATTCTGTTAAAACTTGGTTTTTGGTCCCAACTGTGTTTCCACTTAGGTTGAAAGGATGATGAAAACAAAATTATTGAGAATGGATATAATGAACATGAGATGAGGAGATTGTGTTAAATGACATTGTCAAACTGAAAATGAACACAGAAAATGAATGTACATGATTAAAAAAGTATGAAGATAATTACAAATAGATCCACATCTATGATGTCTACCATACACAATAATTATCGTTCAATGATTAATGAATGAATATTTACTGAAATAATTGATTTTTACTTCAAAGAAAAAAATCAAGATTAGGTATGTACATATTTGGTATCAATGAGCATTAAAAATTTTTCAAGGTACATTGAACAGGTAATAAAATTCTAAATTCATGATAAATAATGTGATTATTATCGTTTGAACTCAAATTGTCTTTTTCTGTTTAGGTTATAACAAAAAAAAAACAATATTAATAATGTGGATATTCTATTCTATTATTTCTCTCTAGTATAGTCTCAAAGTATTTTCTTATATAATTATTATTCATTCTGATGCGGACCATCATTACAAGTTTGTTGAAGAGAACACATAATGAAATTACTTGTCACCTTAAAAAATATACACTATCAAGAATTATCAACTCATCAAAAACATTGTTTTTGAATCTCATGCCCAACAATGTCAAATTTCTCAATCCCATTCCGCTTACATCAAAGGTACTTTCCATTCGCTCACAAAGTTCCAAGATGCAAAAATATTACTCTCTATATATTTATTATATCAAGATGTATAAAACTATAATGGAGCCATGATTGTTTTTCATTTCGAAATATCTCTATAATCGCGCAATGACAATTTTACTTTCTGAAGCCCATAATGTTTAAGGTTAGGAAAACGTGAAGATAATCTTGAAACCCATTTGCATCACAAAATATTTCTAGACAATGGCTGCCTATAAAATTTGATGCTCGATGATTATAGATAGACCATAGAAACCAATGATATCTTTCAATATAGAAATATTCAACAAATTTTTATAATAATATTTCGAGAATGAGATCATTAACTAACTCAGTCCTCAGTGCTCTTATTATTGACCCACAAAATCCACATATTCGTTTTTAATTTAGTAAATTTGAGTGGTTGCAGCTATTCGCGGTTTTGAAGGTCATCATCTGACGTTGCGATGTCGTTAAAACTGAGGGAAAAGATGTCTAACTTTCAACATGACAGGAATCAGGAGTTGGGAATGATTCCCCAGTTTTAACGTCATTGCCACGTCAGATAATGACTTTGAAACCCGTGAATAGAATTTCAAATCTCCCGCCTCGCTTGACTGTGGAATGCTGATCTTGGCCTCTCTAAGAATCTAAGAGATGCAAATGTATTGCCCTCTTTGTTTAAAGTTGGCGAATTTTCCCTTTATTTTTCACACAGTTAATACTGGCAAATGGTCTAAGACCAAGATTCCAACTGATGAATCCTTACCGGAATTACTTTCCGGTTGCCACTTCTCATTCTGTCTCACTACAAGAATTGACGTAGAATGACTGTTGACAGTTGTCAAAAAACGAAATTGAATTGACGAAAAACGAAATTACTGTTTGTTGAGATCTACATGTTTCGAAATAGTGATATAACACCATCTTCTTTCCATCATGATTTCTATCAAATAAGAGAGGAGTTGAACGCTTTGCTATCACACCTGTGATGAAACAACACAACATCATTCAGATCATTCCAATGGTCCCACCATAGTTCGACACCGTTTCTTTAACCTTCAACATCCCTCAATTCCCTAACCTAACCACCACAAAACCGACATTTTCAAACTCTCCCTCCCATGGGGTAGCCTCCAGCTAGATGCCAGCGCCAACGGGATCTCCTGGCCATGTGAAAGGGCAAAGTTCGATAGTTCTTTAGTGAGGTCTATGAGGGAGGCCAGAAGCCCTCAATATCGAGCATTAAAAAACGCTACTCGATTATGTCGAGTTCCAAGATTGTAGTGAGGTTTCCCAGGATGAACACTGAATGGCGCCACTCTCAAAGTGATCCTGCTTAATAATTTTTATTAAGGTACTCACACAAGTTAATTTAGAACTGTGAAAGCCATAAAAGCTAAAAATGGAGCTGTCAGCTATCTGTCACTGTCAGAATAAGGTACCAGTATGGCATCGCTATCTGCATTCAAGCAGATGAATCTTTTCTCCCACTTTTTGTTGAGATGAACATGTTTTGGAAGAGTGGATGATAAACAATCTTTCCCCATGATAATTTCAATGAAATATTGAAGTTAAACACTTCGCTATTACAAAATTTCTTAGATCATTCGAATGGCCCCACCATAGTTCGACACCGTTCTTCCAACCTCCAACACCCCTCAATTCCCTAACCTAAGCACCACGAAACTGACAATTTCAAACTCTCTCTCCCCTGGGATAGCCCCCAGCTAGATGCCAGCGCCAACGGGATCTCCTGGCCATGCAAAAGGGCAAAGTTCGCTAGTTCTTTAGTGAGGTGTATGAGGGAGGCCAGAAGCCAATATCGAGCATTAAAAAACGCTACTCGATTATGTCGAGTTCCAAGATTGTAGTGAGGTTTCCCAAGATGAACACTGAATGGCGCCCCTCTCACAGTGATCCTGCTTGATAATATTTATTAAGGTACTTATACAAGTTAATTTAGAATTGTGAACGCCATAAAACCTAAAAATGCAGCTGTCAGCTATCTGTTACTGTCAGAATATGGTACCAGAATGGCATCGCTATCTGCATTCAAGCAGATGAATATTTTCTCCCACTTTTTGTTGAGCTGAACATGGTTTTGATAAACAATCCCCATCATAATTTCAATCAAATATTGAAGTTAAACACTTATTCGCTATTACAAAATTTCTTAGATCATTCGAATGGCCCCACCATAGTTCGACACCGTTCTTCCAACTAACAACACCCCTCAATTCCCTAACCTAACCACCACGAAACCGACAATTTCAAACTCCCTCTCCCCTGGGGGAGCTCCCAGCTAAATGCCAGAAGGCACATCTAGCGCCGTCAGAATTTCCTGGCCCTGCAGCAGGCCGAAGCTGGCAGGAGCGTTCACCTCGTAGTCCTGCTGCGTGAGGTCCATGAGGGAGGCGAGAGAGGCTCCCTCGGGATCAAGCAGGCCGAGCGAGTGCTTGCGGATGCGGTGTTGGCGCTCCAAGGCCGAGGCCTGCTGCGATCGGAGTTTCTGGTCCATGGAGAACGGGTCCAGCGGGGGGGTTAGACGGGAGGTCATCGGGTCGTCCTGTAGAAACAGAGAATAATAATAATATGAATAATGTAGAAAGTATAGCTTGGTCATATAGGCCGGGAGATCACTTTATCCTAGGAGATCTGGTCTATCCAAGATCAGTTGGAGCATCTCGACCCAAAAATATACACAGAGCGATGTGGCTTCGTTTGAAGTTAGTTAGTTCATTTTCTCGAGGCGTTCCAACTAACTTTGGATAAAGGAGGTAAAACAAACCCAGAACCTCACTTTTCTTGTGTAATTACATAGGGTTGAAGTATATTTTCACTATTATATTGGCATATTATGAATCGTGTTTCTTGAGATATTTATGTATTCAAGCATGCCATCACATTGTGCTGTTGTACAATGCATAAAAAAATGCAGCGAGAGACGAAGGAATGAGATATTTCAGGTAGGTAAATTGTTGCTCCTGTAGTCAGTCACATATGTTCTCATTTTGAAATGTCATTTCTCTTTAGAATTCCTTCTACAATTCGCGAAAATCACGAACCAATAGATGGCTCTATCAAATGTCAAATCAACGTCAAATTTCCAACTGAGTATGAACAACAAAAACATTGCCGTATATGCACTCATTGTGAATTGGTTATTTCCAAATCATTTTGCAAAATAGTGAATAATAAGTTGACTTCTTGAAATACGTACAAGGTTTCCAATATGGAAAAAATTACTTTTCGTGCAGAGAAATTGCCATTTTGATGTGGACTATGGTGGTTTTCATCATTGATATCACACTACAATCCCACAGTTTTCAAACATATGGAATGATCGGAATGGTCTACTCAACACTTGCATGTACTGGAATGGAACCATACAAGCAATCAGCTTTTACAACAATATGGTATAGGTATGAAGAAATAATTGAATTCATCAAGAAATATCACTGGCTCTTATGAAGGAGATGGAATTCTAGTGAAGGGGTTGGAAAAGAAGACATGGTTGGAGAGGCTGCTCAGAATGAACAATATCATCGATTTACATAAACAAGGATCTCCAACAATTGAGGACTTGAGGTTATTCTCAAGATCTAATCATTGCATCCAACATTTATACAATGATTCTAATTGTGCTTCAGAAAATGTATATTATATTATTATAAGGTAGGTACTGGTTTCTTCATTGTAAACAATAAAAGTTCATGCAATAATTCGAGTTTTTCCATCAGGAAGAAATGAGGTTCTGGAATATGCACTTCAACAAATAAATTATTTTCCAATAAAACACATATTTATGAAATTCGAAACAATGGTCGCCATATTTGTTGTTCATACTCGCAAGACTTGTACAGTTAGCCACCAGAGGCCGCACACTTCGTGATTTTCGCGAATAGGAGCTAAATGGAAAGACTTGTAAAAGGGAGGACTGGTCTGACATGCTGACGCAATATAATGATCCAGGTGTTACATTTTCACTTCATTAGTATTCTGAAGAGAAATGACAATAGTTTTAAATGAAAACTATATGTGAGTAACTAGAGTGACTACAGTAATTTTACATCACAATTTACCTGAAAAATCGTATTCCTTCATCTATCGCTGCAGTTTTTATTCATTGTACAACAGCACAAAGTGATGGCCTGCTTGATTTAATAATATAGCCTAAAAAACACGATTCGTATGCCAAAATAATTGTGAAACACTAATTCAATCCCATGTGAACAAATAAGAAAATTGAGGTTGTTTTATGACTAATAATTTTAGTCCTCTCTAACCCCACTTCTGATGAAGCCTAGGATTTTCTTGACGGTTGAATTTACCACCTCAGCAGGCGTCAAATAGATTTGTTCTAAGTGATTCAGACTTAAGACTAACTAGTACATGAGCAGCCTTTTGTGGTTTCGGTTGTGATGTAGAAAATGTCAGGTGTCAGTCTTCGCTAGGCACATCTTGTTGTGGTGGCACCTCATAGGGCAGTGTCCTGTGATAAAGCCTGTAATCAACATCAGCTTTGGTTTGCTGAGGCTGGGTTAGGAATAGTTGATAAACTTTTTCGCTTGTCGTTTAACTGAAGTTGCTTTCTAGCAGAACTTTTCAATGTCTTCTCATTGCCTGAGCCTTACCATTAGGTAATTAACGCCCTGTAATTGAGTTATGATACATTTTTAGAGGTATTTTTATTTAGAAAATACTTCTTTTTGCCCACATTATGCGACTATTGACATGATTTCAATATTTCCTTACACAAAAAATATACTACTGTTTTTGAAATGAAAAAAATAACACAAATATCAGTAGGTATACTCATTCAACTCGATACAAAACTATTATTTTTTTCACAAAAAATTTCACATCATAATTACTTTTAAAATTTCAACAGTTTGACAAAATTCGGCATAGAAATATTGGGGTACTGGGTACCATCCACCCCATGCAACCCTGAAAAATTTTACCTAATCTAATCACATCAACATTAATTGTTTCGTGAGAAAAGTAATAGTATTATTGCATTATTAGAACGACTAAATGGAAAAACGTGAGGTTTCGACCCAAGATAAATTTGAAAGATAAGGAAATCAATAAATATCGTGAAATGTATTCCAAAAATAAATAACACTTGAACTTGAGTGCAAGGTATAAAAAAATTGATAATGACTGAGTGAATTTTATATTTTCCTATGAATATCATCCGCACCAAGAGGTCAGGAAAATATTAGGAATAATCACTGCCAAATAAGGAATATGATTATTATAAGTGCGTCATGTTTTTAGTTGATGGCTTAGGCATGTTTGTGTCTTGTTTTTTCTGTATTGTATGGAGTTAGATAAACTAGGTAATGACGAAATGTGAATGTTGAAAAAGAAAAAAAAACGGTACGGATGAATGAGTGATATTTAGAATAACAGAATTATTTACACATACGGCTGTGAGAAACATTTGATGTGCAGTTGTTTCTATGAATATTTTCCCATAAGATTTTTATTATTTCCTGATGAAGCTGCTATAAATATCGATGATTTTTTTCATTTTAAAAGTAAAAAGGTTGTTTACCACCAACTGATTGGGATGAACTTGAACTTGACAAACTGAAAAATCAAGCGTAGATTAGGTATCTAGTTAGGCGGTTACAATAAAGATATCCCTATTTTCAAAATCATATTAATTTGTAGAATATTATACCCATTATTCATTGAGATATCAATTAAATTGTACAAGGTACTACTTATATTCTGAACAAAATTGTAAAGCAAAACTAATATTTTCGTACAACTGTCAAAAAACTTGACATCTCTGCATCTTTATTGATGCGTGAATGTTTACTCTTCTTCACTGCCAGAATAACTCACAAAATAAAGATGGAATATTACTTTCTGAAAGATTGATTTTCAACAGAGTCAATCATTAATTGATTATTCATCATAAAACAATTTCGATTATTGCAATAATAATTGGTTGTAAAGTTGAAATTATTTATAACATAAATTCCCGAAGATGTTCCATGTTGCTGCTGATCAGAAAACATTAAATATTTCTTGAAGAGTTGATTCCACAATTTTATCAGATATATTAATTTGTTTGAAATGCGATGGACAAGTAAATATTTTGTTAGAAATCGCAATTTTGTAAATTCACATTCACTTGTACAAAAAATTGTGTTTGTATTTTGTGTATAAAATTCGTGTTTTCATGGCACATTCGAGAGAAATTAACAGTCTCATGTGCCCTTAAAAACACATTAATTTCACGCACTCAATACAAAAATAACTATTTTATTCTCACCTAAGTCGTTGGATTAAAAACAATGTGAAATGACAAACTGAAACAAACTATTCAGTTGTTCATTTTTTTAATTAGCCAAAAATGAGAGCCAGTATTTTCTTATCAAGGGATTTTAGAAGTTTTTACTATTTTAGCGCCTACTTTGCTCTTGATTCAAATTTTTTAAGCATACAGGGTTTTTCACGATGAGCGTTGATTAGACGTTTCTGGCAAACCATGCAACAAATGATCTGAAAATTTGATGGTTTGGCGTTGCCGCTTCTACTAGAAAGTAGCAGCAACTTTGATTTTTCAAAAGAAACACCCTGTATTTCATTGCATTTTTGGATTCTCCCTGAAGAGCTGCTTTCATGAATGCATCACACTTTGGGTCTAGCAAGGAATATTACAGAGATTACAGAACAGATACAGGGTGATTAGAATTAAGTGTCAGTAGATAGTAAATCAAAAGTTAAGATGGGACCTGTAAGCCATTCCGACCAATAATGTATAGTTTCGACACAAAAAAATCCTGAAGTTGAAAACTCTCAATTTTGTAATCATTCCCGCTATACCACAAGTGTGTTACATGGATAAAATAAGCTCTTTAGGGAAAATCTAAACATGCAATGGAATTCGGTATGTTCGATTACAAAAACCATAGTTGCTGCTACTTTGTGGTAAAAGCGGCAACTCGGCATCGTCTAAAATACTTTATGGATCATGTCAATTTATACATATCATAAAATTTTCAGATTCGAATGCCAGAAATACTCGTAAAAAAACTTGCATATTATTCTTTAGTAATCAGAGTATCAGGATAGGTATTTCTCATAAAAAATGATTTGTACCTATTTTGCGGAATAATGTGGAGGACAGCATGACCCCTTTTAAATACACAAATGCTAAAGATTTGGCAGTCGTTTGAGTTTTTTTATAGTCATTATCATCCATTGGATCATTATAGGGATAATAAAGTAGGGTAAATTCATTTGGAGTAACAATATTTTTATATGCTCCATGCTCCACTTCTCATGGCTCAAAATTGTATTCTTTCAGAAAAAAGAATAAGATTCTTAGTTGAAATAACTAGTAAAAAAAATACAACTTTGCAAAACCCAAGAAATTCTGTTGTCATTTTTTTTAAATCAATGGAAAAAAATCCATAGGAACCCAGATATTTCAATGTTGAACGATTTTTCTTGTCAATTGAAAAAATAAATAGTGTACCATAATAAACAGGACACAGGACGGAGAAGAGAATAAGTGTTTTCATTGCAAAAATCCATAGGTAGTGTATCTTCTCCTACCAAGATTTTTCATTTGATTATTCTATTAAGTGATTTCTCATGAGAATGATTAAATTCTGTGGCCAAAGCTAATTAAAAAGTTTTTGAGACATAATCTGGCCATTCTCGAACATTTTACTTCTATTTGATTATTTAGTAACCATTTAGATAAAAATCAAGGCTTTATTTGCACATCATATCAACATATTATATAATTTCAGATAAGCAGTAGTTTTTTTCCTCTGAAATTCAAGTTCATACAATCAGGAGGTAGGTAAACAAAGGAACAACGCATAATTTTTATAATTTTATTAACAAAATAGCATATTAGTAAATATGCTGTGGACAGTAATAAATACACACCAAATGTTCTAAAAATAAATAACCTTTATAAAAGATCAGGTATCACTAAATTTTATTGCTTTTAACAGTAACAATAAAGAAATCTACTATGTACAAATTCTTTTACAACCAAAGCATGGTAACAAATTTAGATTTTTTGGGAAATTCAACTATTAACATTAAAAAAATTTCAACCATCATATTTCAGCAATAATAATATTGTTTCAAACTTTTGACAATGACTATCATATATAAAATTTATAAGAATATATTTGAAAGGTATTAGTGGACATCGAGAGTTTTAAACATGTTTCCAAAATTCCTTCATGACAAAGCCTTATGATGTACGATATTCGTTGATTTAAACCACTTGAACAGCAAACAATTGTTCCAGCAACGAATAACATCTAATCTATCTAGGCTACAATTTCATTTATTGTTTTAAAATTCGCTCATTTTAACAGTTTCTAGATTTACTATGAACAATTAAAATTTCGCATCTAATTTCAACATTCCATGAGTTGTTATATTTACACCAAATATGTACTTATCACTGAGTATTACCATTCATTATCACATTTAAATAAAAATTGGCATGATCTCTTTCGGGATCGGATAATGAAAAAAAAAAACTGAGTTTATTTGCAAAATCTTGTACAAAAATATCTGTTTGAAATTACATGGCATAGCGTTTAGTGAGAACGGAATGTGAATTTCATTTCATTTAAGCATCGAAAATTAAGTTGAACAAGTTTAAACACCTTTGAGTGTGCAGATAAAAGAGAGCGTTATGCTTTTCCGATAGAATTTCTATCACAGACAATGATATAAAGACATTTCGTATCAAAAATCTTTGAGGTTATCTCAGGATTTTCAAAGCGAGAACTTTGTACAGTTTACTGACGTTCTTTGAAGCTCTAGCAGCTAACAAACGATATTTATATCGAGATACTGGCAGTTTCAAATCAATCTAATATCCCTGAACTCGGTTGTACTCAAACTTTTTTCATGATAAAATTTGACAGCAATTAGATTGCAACACATTTTAGGCTGTTTATGAATATAGCTCTGATATAACTGGTAAACATGTTGTGTATATAGATATAGGATAACATTTCGATTCGTTTTATAAAAATTATCTATGTAACATTGAAATTATTATTGTGTGGAGCAATTTTTCAACATTTGTTTTTAGACAAATATGGCACATAGTTCAGGAAAAAGATTATAAATCATTCACTATTGAGCATCACAAAGATGATGCGTGGAAGTCAACTATTATTTATTTATTGCACTAAGTAGTCCCAATTCCAATTTTTATGTCAATTTCCACATTTTATGTGAAACCATTGTCATAAATTTTCGTTAGCCAGTGTACAACAAAAAAAAAACACCTAGATTAAAAAATCATTTGGTTTTTCCATTTTATGTTATATATATGAATAATATGTTGAATATTGATAAACATTGAAAGTTTGATGTGGAAAAATTGAATTCCATCACTTTCCATTCAATGAAAATCTTTTTTGATAGCAATCACAATTTCAATTCATCTAAACATAATCTGATTTTAGTCAAAAAAATATTGAAAATTATATTGACGTAATATAATGATGATTTTTGCAGATTTTGCTCGACTTTGTTTTAGTATGTTCCACATTTACAGATTTTCAGACTATCTACCTGGTTAACAACTAAGAACGGCTGCCATATCTACCATTCTTCCAACTTTTAGTTAATATCTTCCGTTGGCGAAAAGCTTTCATGTTGCGGTTTTCGTTGGTCTGTTGAGATTCAGTTTCTCTATAACATCGTATTATGATATGCATACCATTAGATTCATTCTATCTCAAACTTGTATCATTATTCGTTGCTGAGATATGGCCCACAGTCGTTCTTAGTTGTTCACATGGTACACTGAGCCACAACTACTTTTGTAGATCTTCAGGCCAGTGTAACTGGGGTTTATTTTCAGATGACAATTAAAAACTGGAACCGAACACCGACATTTACTTACTATCAGTGGATTGAGCCATCTTTTACAGATACAGTTGAATACCCTCGGACAATACCTACTATTTAGACCGCTGTCGCCATAAGACGAAATCTCATTCAATTACCAGATCACACTAGATTCTATGGAGCATGTGCAACAACAAATGACATAAGTCAATGACATGAATGACAACTTGGATCTTTGGATACCAAAAACCCGAAAATCTCCATGGTGCTTCCCCAAAAAGGCATCTGCGTGAGGTTACAAAATGACACTCTAGACATCGACTTATGTCACTTGTTTGGATCCGACAGGTAAGTGGTTCAAGATGAAAACAAATGTCACAGATGGTTTGATGGGATACATTTTTTTGTGAGGATGCACAAATACAATCGATGATCTTATGTTAGAATACGTTTTTCCTATTACAATTGACTATCTTTTCTGTGAGGCGAAAGGAGATATGGTGTTATTGGTTGATCATCTGGACTAGAAATGACGGAATACTTTGACAGCAGTATCAATCAAAGTGACAGCATGGCACCAAGCTTCTTTTGAATGTTTTACAGTTTTTGAATATCACATTCCTTCATTGCTGGCGAATGGAAGATCATATAAGCTCCAATAATATGAGATTTTTTTTGTCAATACTTCCATACGTTTATCCCAAATTAATCCATCATCAAAACAGATCCCAAGATAGTTTTTTTTTCTATTAATTCGTTTTTAATTTTGAGATCGAGACTTATCATTTGTTAAGAACTCAAATATTACTTGTACGGATTACCATCACTTGAATGGATTGCCTTTTGACTTCAACATTCAGACGATAGGCGAGTATTTTTTTTTTCAATAGAATCATTACTCAACTACCTTTCAATCCCATATTTTTTTAGATTTTTAGGTCGATTTTAAGGTCCTGAAATCATCAATAAAGCCACAGAAATTTTCAAACGGCTAGAAATTTACCGCAAATAACAACTGAGGTCAAGATTTCGTAAGTCGGAGCAGACATTAGCACATTTGTCATTATGTTGAAATACGATTAGGAACTTTATAAATATTATTCATTCAATAATCCCAATTAGCTTTTTAAATCCATTGTCTTAAAATGTTCCTTCTTATGTGTGCTTACAATGCATTTGGGTAAATAATAAGAGGACATTTGGTCCAGTAAAGGTGACAACACGGCTATAGGATTGTGGGAGTTGTCTTCAGCTTCAAGCACATAATTATTGCCAAATCTGCTGCTAACATTTACATGATGTTTTGTTATAGAGTTTTTGACAAGCTGGTTGCTCCACAAGTAACAAATGAATAACTATGATATTATGGCTTCCTCCTATCAGGCCACATGAGATATTTGATTGGGATGCAGTTTTATTCTACTACAGGACTCCAACAACTTTCCAATATCTTGATTATCATTGGTGAGTTGACAACCTAGCTTCATGAGTGGGAATGGAAGATTATGTGATCAACAAAGAAACAACATGAAAATTAACGTCACCATTTATTCGACGAATCGCCAAATGGCGGCCACAACGGTACGTTTGGAATGAGCTCTGAATTCAACAATTTCGAATAACGCAATAACTCATTATCTACATGAAAAAAGCGTGAAAAGTGTTACAAAAATCAATTGAGGTCCCTAACGACACAGTGGAGTAATTGAATGCCAATAATCCAATATTAGTCCACTCGCCCATTCAATGTCAATTATTCACTATCAGTTCAGTGGCCCATTCTCGGTTCCTCGACAATCACACCATATCTCTTCCCGCCACGCTATCACTTCCTACAAAAATAATTCCAAGTCTCTGGTAACAACCTCTTCCTGACACTAGCACCTCCCAACCACACCTCAACCTCATCTTTTGCTTTTCGTGGGGGCCAAACAAATGTACCCCGCCCGAATATCGAACCCGCTTACCAATAAGTTCATGAGCACGCTGTCGCTGGGCTGTGAGACGCAAGCGGCCTTCTGTACCCAGTTGCCCTTGCCCTTGGAGCGCCCTCTGCCGGTGCTGGTGGACATCAGCTGGTGGAGCAGCTCCGAGGAGAGGTTGTCTTTGGGCTCGCTGCGCGGCCTTTTGCTCGATGGGTCGTACGAGTGAGGGTTGGGTCGCTTCAGGCTGTGGGTGCGGTCCAGCTTCATGTTGGGGCTTTTCGGGGTGTCGAGGTCCGACCAAGATTTACGACTGCCTGCAAGAGATAAGTTGGGGATGATTGATTGATTGAGAAAAGACACTTGAAGATATGAAGGCAATCGATAGTCTGCTTCACGTGTTTATTTTAAGGGGCCATGCGGACACAGTGTCAATATTCTAATCCGAATTCGCTTGCCGGTCGTGGGTTCGATTCCCAGCGACTGCAGACTTTTTTTCTGATGGCCCAAGAAAGTGTTTGGGATCAAGCGTTGAAAGGTAAGACCCCCGTCATTCCTTGCTCGCACAAGACTCTCGAAGACTTCTGAGGGTTGCTCGTAAGGGGGCAACCGAATGACGGATAGAACAATTTTAAAACAATTTTTAGATAGTTAGTGGGTCCTTACGGCCTTTCGTCACTATGACTAGTACGATAGTGAAGACTCTAACGATCTGATACTATTTGTCAGTTTGACCAGTCCTTGCCTTTATATTTCTTCGTACTCTCTTACCAATTTGTTGAGAACACACCTCACGAGGACAATCGGAATTAGTGAGGTTAGATCTAGAGCAATAGGTATGCTATCAAACGTTTAGCTTTCCTTTGGCCAGAAGTCTTCTGTTGTTTCTCTCGAGCTCGAAGATTTTCTTTGATATAGCTATTTAGTGAAGCACAGGTTTTTGATTGAAAAAATGGTGCCATAGTTTCTTCTCTGATTTAGATCCAAAGATGGAGATCCTTAGTTCGTTCTGCACAGTCTAGCGGTCAGAGTACATAGACGATTTACTCCACCCGACACGCTCAAGTATCTGACAAAAGGAATGATTGTAAGACTTGGACATTGAAGAAGGATGCATTTTCAACATTAAGAAAGGTTGTGATTTGTACCATCGAGATGAGGATCTCTTGGGAGGCAAAACTGATAGAAATCGCTGTCAAGCGAAGATATTGGAATAGAACTTGAAGAATTTGTCATAGTATCGACAGTTAGTCGTTCAAATCCATCACAAATTTGAGCCAGTTTATTACCTCTTGCCACAATTGCTATTGAGATCATTCACTGTTACAGACTGATTTTGACTCAGTGATGAAGATCCTTAGTACGATATGCACAGTCTGGCAAATCATAGATATCATTGATATGATCAATCATAGACGATTTACTTTTCCAGAAACTCTCAAAGATCTGACAAAAGGAATGATTGATTAACTAGGACATTCAAGTAGAGAACATTTCCAGCGTTATAGCAGTTCTGATACCACCAAGATGGGGATCTCATGGGAGGCAAAAGTTATTGAAATCGCTGTCAAGCGAAGACATTGGGATAGAACAGGAAGACCTTGTCATAGTATCCACATCCAGTCAATCAAGTTCATCCAAGGAGACATTGTATGCGCTTTTGTGACAGCAGAAGGAATGATAATATCAACAAGCCAACTCGAAAAAAGATATGGAGCAGACTTCGTACACTAATGATAGCGACTCTTACTTTTGTTGCAATAAATGTTCTCGTGCATTCCGTGTCTCTCCAGCAATCCTCCTCCGTGATCGTTCAGTTTGAGGTTATGTTTGTTGTTGGACAACAACTGGGCCAGACTGGAATTCTCCGTTTTTTTGTCATCGCCGTTACTCCACATGAGATCGTTAGATACGAGCAAAGGGAGATCGTCGGTGATGTTCATAGGGATGTAGGGCGCTTTGAGCACCAGTTCGGGATCGTCCTCCATTTGGAGGTTCATGAAAGTCGACATTTGGTCTTCGTCGATCAGCGAGTCGCTGGGGCTGTTCAGGGACGGTAAACTGCAGTCCGATTGCTGAAAAAAGAAAGGAAATTATTAATAATTGGTGTTCTGACTTAGATATCGATTGTATTTGGTAACAATTTTAAACAATGCATAGACACATTATTCACATAAAAAACGCGTAAGAAGTATTGCAAGAATTGATTTAGGCTCCTAACGACACAGTGAAGTAATTTAATGTCAATTATTCACTATCAGTTCAGTAGCCCATTCTCGGTTTCTCGACAACCACAGCATACCTCATCCCGCCACGCTATCACTTCCTACAAAAATAATTTCGAGTCTTTGGTAACAACCTCTTACTAACACTAGCAACTCACAACCACACCTCAACCTCATCTTTTGCTTATCGTCATACATCATACACTGACACTGAAAGAACTGCCAAGAAAAGGTATGAATGTCATTTCGTGTTTGACCTTGATAAGAGCGCCTAAGAGAGTGTTTTGTTTTATATTCTACCTTTGATTTTTTTTAGAAATTGACTTTTATTCAAAAGTGCACATTATGTGGTTGGAATTTTCAATATCATAATGGCTTCAATTTTAAATTGACGTTACAGAATAGAAACCCATACTAAATGTAAAAAACTTCACAAACGATATGATTTCCAGAAAATTCTTGATAACATGACATGTTTCGATAACACAGTAGCTTCTTCAATGGGAAACTTCGCTCCAAAATGCCAACCTAAAAACTTCTACCAATGTAGAAGCAACATTATAGAAGTTCGAATACTCGAATGGCTTTATTTTGATGAAATCTGATTGTAGGAGTCTACTCAGCTTTGTAATAGAAGTAATTCAGGCAAGACTACAATGATCTTCCTGTATCACGAGTTCTAGATTGTTCTCGAACATCCCAGTATTCCTCAACATTCAATATATATATCGTGATGTAGGAAGATTATATTATAATGAGGTGCAAGGCCAGTGGGACGATAATTCTGTAGAATAGAATACAATTTATTGATCTCATAATATCAAATAATGACATAAGACAAGGTTAATGAGCTTGAGAAGTGAGCCATCAACTACCGACAGCAATTATTGCCATAGATAATATCCTGAGTCTGAGAGCTCTGACAGTTATCTCTTCTTTCCCGTTTATCTAAATTCATTCATTTTTAATTAGGTATACCAAATTGACCAGTCAAATTAGTTTATGACTAATGTCATGAGGTTGCCAAAAATGAAAGTGTTGCTATAATTTGATTATGATGTTTTGGAATTGTAAAATCACGGTGTGGCAATAGAATTATTTTTGAAACCACCAATAGTTCGTAATTTGATTCATTAATTTATTTCTTCGATCTTTTACCCAATAAAGCAATAGCCGTTTCCCTTTTTTATGCAGTTTTGTTATAAATTCACGGTTGTCAGAAGTAATTTTGGACATTCACTTGAAGCAAAAAAAAAAAGTAGTACTTCTGCAGTTGTACAAAAGGCAGATTTTCGTTGAGACACGTGCTTTTATTTCCAGGTTTCACGCTCAAAGCACCCGCAACTCTAAGCGTTTGTTATTATCCCCACCATTCACGATTTCATTCATTTCTCCGTGTTTGGCTCAAGAATTATTGGCGTATACTTTTCAATGATTTATTAATGGAAGGCAGTGTCTATCTATTGTTATTTAGTTTGATCATCCACCCGCAAATGTACAGGGTGGGCCAAAGTGGTCACTTTTAAAGGAAAAGTCCTATTCTCCAAATGGATAGAAAAAACTGATGTCGATGCCTGAGGGTGGATTTTCAAAATGGTAATTTTTTGAAAATTGGCTGAAAATATTTTTTTTGCAAAAATTGTATGTTCTCTCGAAGGTAACGGCAAAGCATTGAGTTTGTGATAAAAATCATTCCTGAGGCACTGAAATCAGCCTTCCTATATCTTGTTCAAGGATATAACTTGGTCTTCTTGAAGGAAAAGTTCTATTTTGAAACTAGGTACATGGTTACTGATTTCAGTGCCTGAGAATCAATTTTCATGACACACACAATGCTTTGGGAATGTTTTCATGGAAGCAAAGAATTTTTGACAAAAAAATGAGTTTCAGCCACTTCATATTCAATTCATATTTTCGAAAAACACCTTGTAACTCTGAAACGAAGATAGATATCGATATGCAGTTTTCACCAAAAAGTTTGTCAAGTAAATTGTTCAACAGGCACCAACATAATTTTTTTTTATCTAGTACGGGAATAGGACTTACAAGTGTCTGACATTATCCCCACATTTCGCGATTTCTTTCATTTGGCGTGATTGACGTTTAGGATTGTTGGCGACGTTGGCGTATACTTTTCAATGATTCATGAATGAATCCCGGTGTATTATCTATTGTTATTTAGTATCTAGAGTGTAAGTACGTACCTTAGACAAATTGGGTGACAGCAGTTGGGGCGACTCGTCTCTCATATCCCTGTAAGCGATGAAGGGATCCGAGGGCTCTTCTGCGAGCAGCGGGCCGAAATTGTCGCGCAACAAAATGTCGTCCAACATGTCGGAGAGGAAGGGGTGCTCTTCTAAGGGTACGCAGACGTCCCCTGCTACGGGGGCGAGATGCGTCAGGTCCTCGGGCTCGTCCTTCAGCACTAAAAACGGGCAAAAACTGGTTAGGGACTTATTACACTCGGACAGACGAAAAGAAATTATGGCAAGTCATGGAAACCATCCATTCTCAAAGTAGTCCAGTATTTTTCAACAGAAGAAAAAAACCAAACTCAAAGTCGGTCGACCACAATATTTATTATCGAAATGATCAGCGTGTTTCGGAGCTACGGCCATCTACAGACACAATGAAAATAGTATCTAGAAAATTACAAGTAGTATATGGTAGCTGGGAAAGAGTTGATATACATCTTATGTAGAAAACATCTTAACAATATAAAAAATCAATTATCCGGTGGTTACAACAAAATTTGTAACGGCTGAAAAGCCAAAAGAACTTGACTATAAGTAAGTTCAGCATCGGGAAAAAATGGAAAAATTAATTTATGAAAATCTACTCAATTGAGCTCCATCTAACTGCAATATCAATCGAACATTTCTGCCTCTTTCCTTTCGATGGCTTGATATTGCAGTTAGATGAAGCTCAATCGAGTAGATTTCCAGAAATTCTTTTTTTCATTTTTTCCCGATGCTGAACTTACTTATGGACAAGTTCTTTTGGCTTTTCAGCAACAAATTTTGTTGAGTGCGAGGCTGGATTGATCCTTTGTTGTAACGACCGCATAATTGATTTTTTATATTGTTAAAATGTTTACTACATAAGAGATATATCAACTCTTTCTGGTTATTTTTATAATAAATATTGTGGTCGACCGACTTTGAGTTTTTTTTTTCTCCTGTTGGGAAATTATTCCAAATTGATAGCCCTGTAACTTTTTTGATTCTGGTCCGATTCTGGTGAAATTTCTACCACATCTTAGATTTAGGATACAAAGTGTTCAAATTGTTCATTATACAGAGAAAAACAAAAGTTATTCTTTCACCCTCAACTTCTCAACACCAAATCAAATCAAATCAAATCAAATACACCCTGTGGCAAAAGTGAGCGATTGAACTTAATTTAATTTTGTTCTGGATAAAAGTGTGATCTTTTCTTTACACAATGATTTTTGATTAACGTCGATATCTTGTTTTTAAGAGAAGATACAAGTGTTTTGAGAAAGTATAGAATTTTTCCAATTCTTATCTATACAGGGTGTAATTCAATTGATGGCTGAAAATATAGGATATGGTTCCTTAGCTCACTTTAAGAAGAAAATTTCTTATAAAAATTTGGTTCGTCTCTCACTCATTCGTTTTCGAGAAAAAAAAAGTCTCTCCAACCACGTATTCACATAAGAACTGAGAACATAGAAATTAACAATAAACTATTTCCTCAAACATTCGCGCACACAATAAATGGTAAGTTGAATAAACCTTATCTCTGAGAGAGATTTTCATTTTCACTGACCACCCTGTATCTCAAACAATACGGGTCTTTGATCCGGTCTCTGTGGGAACTATAAGAATTTCTTGAACAATATCAATGATTGAATTATAACGATTTATACTGTAGGAATCGACATAACTCATGTCTATGAGAATATAATGATATATTCTCTAAAACGGGTCGTTATTGAGATATAGGGCGTTGAAATTTAAATTATTGATATTATCGATTCATAAGAAAATGGAGGTGGAACCTGCTCAAATTCGTTATTGGTATTGAATCATCATTTTGAATTGCATGCTGTTTTTTGGGAAACCCGGTATATCATTTTTTTATCCTTTAGAGTAAAAAACAAACATTCTAGGTAGATTCTGGCTCATATTCAATGCATTCTTCGTATCCAGTGCATTGAGGACAAAAAAGAATCTCGATAATGAGGCTGAATGATGTTGAGATTGAAAGGATATGCACCTGCCAATTATCTTTACGTCATCAATTAGTAATGTTTTCCAACTACATAGTATAGTTAGTTGTACACATTGATTTTAAAAATAATCTCCATAGGTCTTTGGCACTATTTTCGAGGAATGGTCATTTTATATACATGTTAGTTTTGTCATTTTGTTTACATAACACCGTGAGAACATTCGTTACATTCTAAAACAAATTACTTACTTATATATAACGATTTAACGAAGGGAAAAAATATATTCTGTCAAAATTATAATTGCAAGATAATTCTGATAATTAGGCTATAAGCAATACCTACCTCTTCTCCCTATCCTCCCTAGGCACGCACGATGTTCTTAGAACTTTATAGGGATTCCATTCCGTGCGCTCCAAAAGATTTAGGAAAAATGCAATACAGTGCAACATTGGTTCTGGTATATTTTGTGAGTTACATGTTTCCAAAATGGGTTTAATACTATTAAATTGATATTGACCAAATGAAAAATACAATTTTTTCCCAAGTATACCGAGTGATACTGACTTATGGTATACCCCCCTTTTCTACCTCTATAAAGTTAGCAAAGCCACTTGCATGAAAATCGATAAAAACTATGCCATTAATTGTCGAATGATTGTCGAGAATTTGTCGTGAAGAAAAAAAAATTGTCGCGCTCTTAGTTTTTTTTATATGGGGTGGCTCTGCTAACTTTATATTAAGTTAGCAGTGCCACTAGAATAAATCGACAACTGAAAATCAAATATCGCAACTGTTCTTATCAATAATTGTCGAGTAATTGTCGAAGTCCATCTAACACAAAAAAATGCGAAAAAAGTGTTTTTTTAACGCGTATATTTACATTTTTAGTGAAATTTCCTGGAATCCGTGGAAATTTCCAGTATTTGGCAACACCGCATTCTTATTTCGACCTCCTACATCATTTTCAGTGACATAATTGATAGATATCTATATATGTTTCATTTTCTCTCTTCTATAGATCAGATAAAAATCATTGTAAATGATGAATAAAAGAAGAAAAAAAGTCACCCATGTGAATTGTTGATTTCTATTTACATTTAGGAAATCCCATAACTTTTATAGGGTGGCAAAAACTATTTGTCGCTTGACCTGTTGGTACGAAAAATTGTCGACTCATTGTCGACTCATTGTCGAAGTCTATTTAACGTAAAAAAATCAACAAAAAATTGTTTATAGCTCTGTTATATTCATTGGACTTTCTGGAAACTGATGTGTAAAATCTTTAGTTCATTATTCTCCGCTTTGAAATTCATTGAGCAATTGTCGAATGACCTAAACATATTTGTCGTGAAGGAAAAAAAATTGTCGCGCTCTTAGTTTTTTTTATATGGGGTGGCTCTGCTAACTTTATATTAAGTTAGCAGTGCCACTAGAATAAATCGACAACTGAACATCAAATATCGCAACTGTTGTTATCAATAATTGTCGAGTAATTGTCGAAGTCCATCTAACATAAAATAAATCCAAAAAAGTATTTTTTAACGCGTATGTATACATTTTTAGTGACTTTTCCTGTTATCAGTGAAAACTGATGTGTAAAATCTTTAGTTTATTATTCTCCGCTCTGAAATTCATTGAGCAATTGTCGAATGACCTAAACATATTTGTCGTGAAGAAAAAAAAATTGTCGCGCTCTTAGTTTTTTTTTATATGGGGTGGCTCTGCTAACTTTATATTAAGTTAGCAGTGCCACTAGAATAAATCGACAACTGAACATCAAATATCGCAACTGTTGTTATCAATAATTGTCGAGAAATTGTCGAAGTCCATCTAACACAAAAAAATGCGAAAAAAGTGTTTTTTTAACGCGTATATTTACATTTTTAGTGAAATTTCCTGGAATCCGTGGAAATTTCCAGTATTTAGCAACACCGCATTCTTATTTTGACCTCCTACATCATTTTCAGTGACATAATTGATAGATATCTATATGTTTCGTTTTCTCTCTTCTATAGATCAGATAAAAATCATTGTAAATGATGAATAAAAGAAGAAAAAAAGTCACCCATGTAAATTGTTGATTTCTATTTACATTTAGGAAATCCCATAACTTTTATAGGGTGGCAAAAACTATTTGTCGCTTGACCTGTTGGTACGAAAAACCTCGACCGCCATATTGGAGCCGCCATTCTGTTTTTTTCTCTAACAAAAATGCCATAATGCATTGTCACCGGAATTATGTACACCTGCCAAATTACAAATCAATCGGACGATTAGATGTGGTCTAAAAATTGGTTACAAGATTTGACTGACATTTTTTTATCACCAACAACAGATTGAATATAAGCGTGTTAAAAAACATTTCAAATTTGTATAGTCATATTGGATCATCTTGAGATAACCTGGATAATAAGAGTCCTCCAGGAAATCATTTTATTTGTTATGAAAGAAACATTGCCGAACATGGCCGAACTGAATACCTTTTAATAATTTAGCTTTTCCCTATGAACTATCTGGATCGTAGGTATATCAACATTATCAAATCCACTCCAAACTAAGTTTACCCGATGCGTTAACTTATTCGCTGGACAGACTGTAGACATCACTTGACCACGTGACAACACGGGGCACGTGATATTCCCAAAGGCGCCAAAGCGGGAATATCACTAATATTAGTAGATCACAGGTCAGTCATCATAGTATTGTCTTACTGTGGTGTACTTATTAGGGTGCGTTTTGTTCAGTCGAATGCAATTCAATTCAGATTCTCGTGGTGTTAGTTATTATTTCAGTGAAAGACTCTTGGTGATTCTCGTTAATTCAATAATGGAAAAACTTGTTCCTGGAAAAAGGCCCTTAGTTCCTCGCAACATTTTGGTGGAGACTATTCTTAAACATAAACATGAACTTGTTTTCAACAACGAGATTGCGCGGGCAACAGCGGCTGTTTGGAAAGTGATTGAAGCTGGTTTAGACAATAAAATTAAGGCGACATCTCTTCACTCGATGTGTGTGGGTAATCGGTATCATTTGAAAAGTTTGCTCACAGACACAGCAACGCTGGATGCTGATCAGGAATATGAGGTATCCCTAAACGAGTGTGAATCGTCTGAATCGAATCGAAATTCCATGAGAAATTCCCTCGGAAATTCCTTCAACTTCATTCTCTCTATCAAGACATCCAAATTCGAAAGTCTCTTGACTGAAAGAGTATATGCGAGGAAAAC